CAAAGAGCTCAGAACCCCCCGAGGTGGCAGTGAGCTGCTGGTTTCTAATGCACTTCACTGGCCTACAGCCAGGAAGAACTACTTGCACAGCTAGCGCCTTTTGGCTGATTTGAGAGAAGTACAGAGAAGTCAGTCTGAACTAACCATCCCACTCTAGAACAAGTCCCTGTAGGACTGGCTCCAAAATTTCAGTGGGGGTGGGTGAGAAGATGCTTTATGACCCACTTATCTGCTGCCTGGAGTTCCAGTACCCTTTTAAGCATTGCTCGTTGATCACATTTTTCCCCTCTGCATTGATTCTAATTCATAAAAGCTCACCAGACGGCAAAAAACGTACTTTTTTTTTCTCTTTAATAAAAGAGAAGTGCCCAGTCAAGTTTGCTTAACCCGAATAGAAACGATAATTCTGCTTCCTTTCAACAATTGCTTGGCTGCCTGTCATCTTTTTCCTGGAAGTTGTTAAAGAGCTTCTGTCAAAGCATTCGGAGAGTCTCCAATCGCACAGGCTCAGTGAAGCCAAACTCAAGTAGACATCCCACCGCTTGTTAGTGTGGTGCTGTAGTACAAGCCAACAGGCCATAAAGTCCCTGGTCAGCAATTAACTAATGCAGTAAGAAATAAGACTAACTCGTAGCTAACTGATAACTGGAGAGGTCTGACAGTAGCAGTTTGAACCAGTTCTTCTGGATAAAGACAAAGATCTAGTAAAATTTCCAGTGTTTTATTTAACAGTACTTCTTCAAAGGTTAACCTCTCCACAACAGATGTAAAGAAGGAAACACTTTTTTTTCTTTTCAAGTCACACACCATGCTTTGTAATCCCAAGAGAAACACATGCCTTGGATTCCTACTGTTCTACTTTCTGCTGAAGTATCAAGCCTGTGGTAGTAAAGAGCACATACCACCAGTATGACCAATTGATAGATGACAAAACCACAAGGTATGCACAGTTCTACTTTCAGTTCTCAGTACAACTATATCTCTGAACAGAGAACCTCTGTTCAACTAAAAAAATATCAGAAAACTCTTCGTCAAAGTGTAGACAAATATCTCCTTTTGGAAGGAAAAAAAAAAAGAAAAAGAAAAAATCCGTCCCAAATAATTTTCTTTTTTCTTTATATCCTCCCTCCTTCCCCCCAAAGAGGAATTAATGGAAATAAAGTTAACCCTCAAAGATTAAGTGCATGAACACTTGCCTTGCTACTAGTCTGTTGTAATTCAAAGATTTAATCAATGTTTCTGTACATGTTGTAGGAGTTTTTCCATTATTAAGACAAGTACAATACACACTTGATGTGAATGTTACAATGATGTTTTAACTGCTGCTGAACACATATGTGCACGTAAGCCTATCAAAGTTAAAATATTTGTATGTAGATTATCAAATTAACTAAAGCACAATTTGGAAATTTCAGCCAGTGAACTTGTGCTCCCTCTGCTGACTGGTTAATTTAATGGAACCTCAATAGTGTCAAGATCTCCTTACTCTGTACAAACAACTACTTCCACTGTGGGAAAACCACAGAGCTACGAAGACTTAAGCAAACTCACAACACCTACTCAAACTATTTAAGCAAACTCACAACACCTACTCAAACTATTTACTTGTACTCCAGCCTGAACACGTATGCTTTTACCTGGAATCTGGCATCTTTTGATATAGGCATTCAGCAGAAAGAATGCCAGATTCCAGTACAGCAACCAAAACGTGTCAGTCTTTCATCCATTAAATAAAGATCAGTTTTAAGTGTTAAATGAATATATTTACTTACAAAAACAGTGATCCCCTTCACTATTTACAAAGAATTTAAAAAAAAAAATAGAACCCCCAAAACTCCAAATACATTATGGAGGCCTAAATACTTAAATTTAAATAAGTATCGTAATTTAGGAACATGGAATTAGAGTTCTGGATCAAAAAAACCAAAGTGACAAAGTTGTACTTCAACTGAAGGTTTAAGTTTTAGGGAAGAAAGTATTTTTTCTAACATTTACATCAATGCTTAACCTCAGTTGTGTTACTTAAGAGTCATAATGCCAAACATACCACGTTTTGAGACACAGAATTTGAGTGACTGTGATTTTGACTATTGCTTCTCTGGACTGCTATGGAAATAAATAAAACAAATGCCAAGCAGACTATCTAACCTAAACCAAACAGACTGCCTGCAAAGACATTTGTTTCAACAAATCTTCAATATTGCAGGACTGGCATCTGAATGTGCTATCAAATCTTCACATCATTGTGCCTGCAGGAGCAGATTAATGCATTTAGTTTGCTGATTTAAGCATTGCTGATTCTCCAAGTCACAAAATATTACTTCTATTAATGCCTATTACCTGTGTTCACAGTTAGAAAATGTCTATGGTCTAATTCAAATGGGTAGAATCATTATTTTTCTTACCACAGGTATGGACAGGTTGCTTTCATTGGCCTGCAACAAATTCCAGGGAGCATGCAGTTAAATCCATGATTTGCATTTAAAAAACAACCAAACCTCTAACTAGTTTAATGTTATTCTTTTCCACTGTAGGATAATTATAGCATTGCATGTTAAACTGAGCAAAACTGACAGGAAATATGCAACAGTACCTTTCTTACTGTCAAGTGTGTGCCCCAAAACATTCATTATCCAGTTGCAGTTACCACAACCCACATACAATAACGTAGCCAGGAGTAACACTTAGAAGTCATCGTGCCACAACCACTCTTTCAAAAGACAACCTAGATTTCACCACTGCATGGTGAAAAGAACAAACCAGCTTATTTTTATTTTATGACCATATACCAGCTGGTTTGCAACATTGCCTTTGCAGTCGCAGGTTTGCTGTACATCAAAAGTTTTCTAGATTATCTTCGTAAAAAAAATGTATCGCTTCAAAACAGCTCCAATATGGTTTAGCCCCTTGGCCCATCTAGCTACGCCGTTAAGTAATTTCTCTGCTAAGAGGCAGTCCAGAGATGCATTCTTTTAGTGCTTTATGTCTGAATTTCAGGCAATGAAGGATGTAACTAGTCGTGCAAAAGGATTTGTAGGAGCAAATGGAAACAGCCTACTTAAAGCCAAAAGGGTTCAGGAATGCTGCCGAAGAGCTCTCTCTCCTCCTCACCCAAATTGCCTGGTAAGTACACCAGACCCCTCCCAAGGTGGACACAGGGCCTGACCCTCACGGTTTGCCTTTTTTTGGCAGATGAAATCTCAGTCATCACGGCACCAGCCTCATGGATGAGGGCACGCTTTAAATCGGACTCAAACAAGAACTTCAGCAACCTCTGTGACATCTTGCACATACCTGAAGTCTTCCTGCAGTCCCCATCACCAAGATCTGTCAGACTTCTTGAACCAGTCCTGTTTTGTTGAGATCAAGAACACCACACCTTCTCATTTTATCTGAAAAATAGGGCTGCGGGCCTCCAGGTTGAATTGCTGGATGTATTCCAATATGTACTACATGAAAAAAAAACTTAAGAGCAAATTGGTTTTCCAGAACAGACTTTTTTAAGGATGTATTCAGTGATTGCAATTGTAGCACTGAATAACGGATCAATCCCAAATAGTCAAAAACATGAATATTTTTTAAACCATTTTAGTTTCCTTTTATCAATCTTCAAAACAGATAATTTAAATGTCTGAAAAAGCACTGAGAATCTGGAGGAAAAGTATACAAAAAGTCCCAAATTCACAACTGCTACCAGTTCATGTCCCAAGATCTCACCTACTTCAGATCTTGAGAAAAATTTAAGTACTTTTTCATCTGCTAAACTGCAGAAGGATAACACTTTTATTGTACGCAAAATTCGGGGGAAAAAAAGCAGTATTTTGGTCTGCTCTGCTGCACCCACACAAGTTGTCACTCAGTAGCAAGAGTGGTAAACAGTCCTATATTCCCAGTAGGCCCGTTCTTGTGGGCAACAGTTACTGCTGTGCGTAAAGGAGGAACAGAGTTGCTAGAGAACACCGTATGTGCAATTCCAGAAAACACAGCTAATTTGCAAGCTTGGATTGGCACTCTGGAAAGCACGGTACAAAGGAAAACCTTGGTAAAATACATAAAAGTACATGGTCAGAGATTAGAACGTACATTAGAGAAAATAACTCTGCACCTGTAACGAAAAGCTGACCTCCAAAGGCAAGAATAAGAGTAAAATAAAGATTAAATATATTTTGGTGAAATATCAGCACTGTTACTTCTCTCTGTCAAATCTGAAGAGAAAGGTGCTCTCTCTTTTGCTGTATTTACATTTAGATATATTTTTGAACTTCTGGATCTGTCAAACTTCATTTAAAATACAGTTGGTGGATTTCATGCACAGCACTTCGTAGACCAACACTTAATGAAAGGGTACATTTTTTAAACAAGTTAGACAGTTAAATGCTTAAGTCTAATACTGTTAATTCCTAAACAGGAAACTGAATTCCCTTACATGCATTTGAACTGTAAGTTGTCACGAAAGTCCACGCACAGAGTTAAGAGAATACGCATTCACACTTCAAAATAATTGTGGAAGAAAACAAGATTGTTTCCTAGCTTAAGAAAAAGATTTAGGAAAAAAAAAAAAAGTCGTCTGACAATCCCAAGGCTCTTTGAATGGCCACCTTTGGTGTTGTCTTCACATATACAAGGCAATTCATTAAAGTATCTGACACTTCACATCAAACAGGGGTTCAGTAGTTTGTTTATTTAATTCAATTACAGTGCTTCGATAGGACACCACTCATTTTCCACAAGACCGGAGCCTTTCTTACACTCCATGCAGCTACAGGTGTTATTATTCATCCTTCTATTAAATTGTACCAGTCTCACAGAAATTTGTCTTGTTTGTTCATTTGAAAAGTATTACCAGTAGTTCCCATGGAACGAGAACTGAGTCAGCAATCTTTAGTCCAGTAACATTTCAGTGAACTTCTATTAAAACATTTTTCTTCCATGTGTACAGACCTGGAAACCCAGGGAACGTTCACCAAACTCACCTCTAGAAAGTTATTTTCAAGACTAGTAAGTAATAAAAAGATTTAGGAACTTCCAGACCATAACACTGGTAACAGCTTGACTATCAGAGAAAAAACAATAATGGTTTCAGTAGCAAAGTTGGCTAGTGGTACAGAACAGCAGTGCCAGTCTCTATTCATTGTTTCTGTAGTAATTTTCAATTGTTTCTGAATTAAAATACACCACAGTAACTGTGATATCATCTCTGTACATTCTCGCAAGGTCTTCAGGCAGTGCCAGCATTGCAGCAAGCTTCTCTTGGTCCATCTCCCCATACTCATTACTTCCAACTGCATTCCTTATTAAGTGAGTAGCTATGTTCTGGTCAACTGAGGCAATGCCTCTGCTTTTCCTCTGAAGTAACAAGCTGTGCATATAACCCAAATTAACTGGTTTCTCAAAAGCCAGTTGTGGTTTCTGCGTATTAAGCTCTGTAAGGTGTCCAGCAACAAGTTCCACAACCTTCTCATTACTTAGCATCTCCCATAGTCCATCTGAAGCAATAACTAGAAACTTATCCTTGCCTCTTAATTTGTGGTACGTGACTTCGGGCTCTGCAGTTAAATAAGGGGGTGTATGGTAGTTTGGAGGGACGTACTGATAGATATTTAAAGCCTCAACATCACAGGTATTCTCAAGAACACTGTGTTGCAATTCCTTACTCCATTTTAATTGCATATCTCCAAAAGCTCTGGAGGGCATCAGAATCCCTAGTAACCTGTCATTCACAAATAGGGTTTTCTCCTCAGATCTAGGATGTTCTTTCTTCAGTCTTCTAATTTCAAATTCATCGAAGGCATTGTGGTCTCGAGTTAGAGGGAGAGTAGACCACGTTCCATCTTCTTCATGAACCCCCAAAACTGCTCTGCAATCACCGGTATTTGCAACATGCAAGTGAACACCATCAATGTGAGCTACGCAGGCTGTTGCACCAGAAAAAGCTACTTGAAGGGCAATATTTCTCATCAATTCATTTTCCTGAGGAGCCTGAACTTCCAGTGATATGTCCGAGTCTAACCTTTTGAACGCACATATCATGGCTTCTTCTAAACTAAATCCTGGCTCAGCATCTAAGTCCAGTAAATGTTGCCAGTAAACCCGGAGGTTTTCGAAATACTGCGAAGTTACTTCTCGATACTCTATATCATTTGGGTGTTTATGCCACTGCAGAATAGGCAGAACTGGTTTCATGCACTCCACAGCGAGCTCGATCTCTTCCAAGGTTTGCCGTGACATGAGAGAAACGGCGATGTAATGAAGCAGCCTCTCACTTACCGCCTGGGCACACGCAGACCCTGCATGGCCATCGAAGACTCCAAACATCATCCCTCTGGTCTGCAAGCACGTGGCTGCACTCCTGCGGTCTTCAATAGGGGTGTTGGATGCCAACTGGTTACTTTCAAACCTCAACACAGAATTTGTATTTTTACTGTTCAAATCCAGTATTTTATGGGATAACTCACGTGCTCTGAGTATATCATTGATCTGTGATGGAGACAACTGGAAAGAGAATTGTTCTTCTTCAGTGGAAGTGTGTCGGAATGCTTTTTTTAAGGAGAAAGAATTGTCTAAGCTGCAGGTCCCAGCAGGGTAGAGACGTGTTTTGGAGAAAACAAGATTCCATTTAATCTTGTTTCTACTTGGGATACAGATGGAGTATAAACGTCCTTTTCCTTGTAAAACAATGCTGTTTCTTGCTGAGCTTAAGATCCAGGATGATACAGTTCTTGACATCATAAGTCACTCCACAAATATGAGCACCTTTCTTCAGCAACAAAGAATGTCTTTACAGCCTGGAATATAGAATAGGAAAGGTATAAAAGTTTAGAAGGTTCACAAGAAGCTTTCTATGTAGCAATAGAAAAGCAAGTCTAGAGCTCACAGAAACATTCAGAACTTATTTCCAAAAAATACCATTATAGAGACATCTTAGAGGTGATATAATTTCCATCACTTAACTCTGGTGAATTTAGCTTAGGATATGACTGCCCCTCTCCAGTTAACTCACCAGAAAAAGCTAATTTTTATTTTCCAGACATGTTTTTCCTCATTGTGTCAAGGCTAAGAAGAAATTCCAACATTACACAAGTAAACATAATCATAAACTGGTCAGTGAAAAGCCTTGTCTAACATGACATAAACAGATCCAACAAGCTAAAAAATAGGAAGGTAAGCGACAATGAGCGACTTAAAAGTCTTCTAGAGCACAACCCTATTAACACACTCTAAATATCAAAACTAAGATCAGATCAGTACTCAAACCCTACAGAAAGACATGGCAAATTAATGATTTATATGAACTGCCACGAACCTCACATCTACAACAAGCTAGTCTACCTTTCCAATTCTGTTCCAGATTATCAACTCGACTTCCCCCCGCCCTCCACCTAATCTTCAAGGTCTTAACCAACCTTGAGGCAAGCAGGATTTGTTGCACAGCCCAAGGCAGATTCTACTGCTGCTTAATTAAAGCACTTAGCACAGCATTGTGCGCTTTGAGGAAGTGAAAGTTACACTGGCAACTTTTACAGGTTTACAGTTAGGCATGTTTATTTGGAGTGCAATTAGAATAAGCAGCTGTGGAGAGCTCGGCTGCCAGCAGTACTAAAACCTGGGGCATCTGCACAGCTGAAGTTCTTCACTTGCCATGGGGGAGGTCCAACATACTGTCGCCTACTTTGAGTAAGGTATTCAACTGCGGAAAATTGCTACATGCAGCCAGATGTCTACTGCACAACAGAATTTTGCCCCATGGATTTCAAAGCTAACCGTACAGTAGCACTGCAAGAACAATTACTCCCAAAAGATCATGCTAGCAGCCAGTTAGAACAATATAGTTTTCTGTGAGCTCTAAACCACTTTCAGGTGGCCCGTAGCACTATGTGCTCTAGGTCTCAGGCCAAAGATGCTACATACTAGGACAACATTGCTTTTTTAGCAGGGCACTTCATGAGAAATAATAAGATGCCAGTCTGGCCAGTTGCATGAAAATGGTTCTAAGGAATCAGCAGGAGCTTAAAACAAGCTTGAACTATTCTAAACAAAAGGCCTACTGAGACAACCCAAGGACTTTACTGAAATCTCATTTGGAAAACAAAAGCAATGCATCACAACACATTTCTGAAGCCTACCACCCATGCTTAACAACCGAGGAGACAAGCCCTGTCAACAAGAACCCCACCACTATAATTCTGGGGACCCTATAAAGACAGGTGAAGATACAGCAAAATTTTTCTGCTGATGTCAGGAGAGCAGATGGAAAAGGCACTGTCAGTTCATTGCTCAAGGATCGCCTGCAGTATCCTGGGACACTGGCATCTTCCAACACAACCGACACCTTTTGTCATACTGCAGGGAGAACACAACCAAAATAGAGCTAATAGGAAGATAGCTGATACTGCTAACTCCAGCATTAGCTAAACCCAAAAAGCACCAACAGTGCAAGACAAGCCTTCATGTTTGCCAACCTTTCCCAGGCCATTCGTTCCCCATCCTGTTTTTCCTTCTTTCTCTTCCTGCCCTTCTGAGCCACGTGAGATTGAAACGATGATGAGTTTCATGTCCTTGACCCAAAACACCAATAGGAACAGAGTCTAAACAAACTTACCCTGTTCACATCAGCTGGCTGATAGACAGCAAGGTGGTGGGTTTTTTCCTAGCAGCAGAGTTGCCTAATACCACTTAGACATGTGGTTGCTTAAGGTCAGGTAGCACCAGTCAGTCCTGGAGCACATTTCTGAACAACCCCCACTTACTGCCCATAGCTACAGTTCTCACATCAGCAGGCTCCTGCGCAGCCACAAAAAAAACCCCCCGGCCCCCCCCCCTGCACCCAGAGCCACTCCAGCAGAAGCCACGTTAACACACGGCAGCAGCGCTATTAAAAGCAACGTGCTACAGACCATTATGTAAGGCCCCGTTGCATAAAGCTCATGCTCCGTGTGGGGTACCCCTACCACTGCTGCACCAGGTGCATTCACTGCGACCCAGAGTGCCCCCGACACCGCCCGCTTGCTGCTGGCGACTCAGAGTACGCACTGGGGGCTCACAGAAAAGCAACGCCCACTTTTTCCAATAAAGTGACATATATCCATGGGATTTAGTCTTACAGGCCCCCCGAGACCGCCCCCACACAGCCCCC